CTGCTGATATGCACCCCGAAGATCAATCACGCAAAAGAATGTGCAATTCGCCAGTCGAGCGAAAATATCGTCGATTCTCGGTAACGGGTAATGTTCTGATCGTAAATATGGATTAATCGTCACTTTGCAGTCAATGCATAACCTCAAACTCCCGTTGGATTTGGGTACAACTACTATGGGAGAAGCCCACTTACTATGTGAGACTCTCTTCAAAATATTTTCCTCACAAAGCCGGTTCAACTCCGCTTCAATGGCAGGGCGTTGTTGAAAAGGAGGTGAATATGCCACGTGGAAGATAGGACTTACATTATCTTCCATGATAACCTCCGCTTCGAAATCTCGAATGGGAGTATTGTCGTTACAAATAACGTTTGGATATTTCAATCGGATGGAATCAACAAGGGAACTTTCAACATGGTTCATACTCACGATACTCTCCTTGAACTTACTCCTCCATCCGGGCCACATGACGTCCATCCATGTACGTCCAAGCAGCGGTCTGAAAGCCTTGTTACTTTCGATCACCACTAGCACTAGCTTTTCACTCGGACCACGTTGATTCTTCGACACATTTGCACTAAATCCTCCGATCACCTTGATACCCTGTCCCGTCACGGTTGAAAATTCATCGTTTATCTTGAACAGCGGTAAGTTCGAAAAGCACTTCTGATACAACCGATCGTTTATCACTGTAGCACAGGCCCCGCTGTCTATTTCGAATTCAATCGGTTGACCTTCAACGAATAACACTTCCGTCACCACACTGCTTTTTCTCAATGGAGTTTCATTCTCCACCAAGTTCAGCTGCATCCGGAGGTTGGCGATTTCTGCTGCGAGCTCCTCACCAGCATCAACCGTACCAACGGTTTGGTTCCTCCTGGGTTCTCGACTACCACTACGATACTGATTTGAACTTTTGCTGTAACACACGTTTGCCGTATGGCCCTGCTTACCACACGCGTAGCATTTCCAGCTTTTCGCTGGGCACTTGCCTTGTTCATGATCACGACCACATTTGTCACAGATTTTTCTTCGGAAATTTTGATTTTTCTGACCGCCATTGCCACTAGCAAATTTCGAACGACTTTTGCTTCTATTTCGGTTGGGCTTACCCGATCGCACCACGTGGGCACTTAACACGTTTTCACGCACCTTATTATCTCTTTCGGCCAGTTCCCAGTTCAGCGCATCTTCCACCGCTTTGTCGAACGTTAAATCTTTCTGCTTTAGCAGATGAGTACGAAGCCTGCTGTCGTAAATACCGAACACGAATCTATCACGTAACGCTTCTTTCAAAAACGCATCGAACTCACACTTTTCCGCGAGAGCTTTCAGCTCCACTACATATTCAGTCACCGATTGACCCGCCTTTTGATCCGCTTGATGAAACCGGTAGCGCTCCGAAATCTTATTCACATCTGGCCTGAAGTGTTTTTTTCAGTGCCGTCACTAACTCGGCGTACGATTTCGCACTAGGACTCACTGGTTGCAAGAGCTTCTTTAGAATAGCATAAGTGTCCATACCTAAATGCGTCAAAAGAAACGCCACTTTTCTATTTTCCGGAATGTCGTGCAAAAGAAAGTGTTGAATCATCCTTTCCTCATACACCTCGAAATCGTCACCCGCGACGTAATTCTCGAACGATCCGAAATTCGTCACTACGGGCTTGTTTTCTTCGGTCATTTTTAACCTCACTTATCGCGTCTCACTCGTATTGTACAAACGGTAGCTTTTCACTCCACTCCGTTACACGACACACGACACGTGTCTTCAAAACTGGATACGAATTTGTACGCGGACGATACTGTTCACGATTCACTTGTGCTTAACAAACGGTAGCCCTGTCTTCAACTCCGTTACTATCGGTACGCAGCACGTGGTCTTTTCAATTCACTAGGGGGCATTCGGAGGTTATGTAGTGAAACACACTCGTACGATCTAGCACTTTATTCTTACCTATATTTACAGTGGTGTTATCTGCTCGAGAGCGGTCAAGGAAAAAGAGACCGATACAATGGGTTGTTCTGCTTTTATATAATTTACATTAGTGTTGCTTGATAGGACCTCTATCAACCTAACCGGAAATACATGATTGTTTCGTTAACTTTCGTTAATGTTATCTAGATATACTACACTACATACACTCTTAGATTTTTTTTGTAAAATCTCGACTTTTTTATTGCCAAGATTTGCACAGCCAAGTGCTCGTCAATGACAACTGTTTACGTGACAGAAGAAGTAAGTTGAGCTAAATGTAATCGGTTGAAATGAAAAATTAACATGTATTTTAATTATAACCACAACTACTTCCGATAATTTGGTCCATTGTCACAAGCACTTCCACTGTACGCAACACGCGAATATTCCCCAATGAAAAAAATAAGGGTGCATGAATGCTAGAATCTCGATAAACAAGCAATGGTAAAATCAATCGGTGCTCGGCATCCAGTGTTCCCGGATTTTGGGAAAAATATGATACAGGCCGAAATTTCAGTTTTCTTCAGTGCTGAATCACTGTTTAAATATTTGTTTGCTGAATTCTCAGTAAATTATAAGTATTCCGTGCTCGGTTAGGGTAGAGCGCTACTTCGTCGTAATCGCCCATTTCCGTTCTATCGATCAGAAAAGATCAATAATATCAAAGATTTCACCTTGCACAAATCAATAATAGGTTTGTTCCGATGCGTTAGTTCATTAGACACAACATAAATCCTGTTAGAGTGCATTGTATGAATATTTACGCTCATTGTTCTCAAAACAAAAGAAGCGCTCCTAGCGAATCCCCTTTTTCTACGTTTATCCGAAGGACAAAGAAAATCTAATGACGTTTCAATGTGTGAGGACGGAATTGAAACTCGTAGAACGAATTTAGAATCAAGAAGCAGTATTAGATTTTAAAGAATATCTCAACAATTTGTGACTCTTTATCAAATCCAACAATGGCAAGGTGAATAAATTTAAAAGTAATCTTTGACAGAAATATTCCCTTTTTTGTTTAAACTCGTTCAGAAAAGAGAGGTAATGCACGGGTTGTGCTTAGTAGGACGGAAACTAGATCAAAAACCCTATATGCAGAGCTCGAGAATTATTGTTAAGTGTGTATATATCCGATTTCCATAGAAAATCTGTTTGTATAGATTTGATTAAATTACTTTAAGCTAAGCTAAGGGGGGTTGTCTTACCTCGTTTTCCCCTAATACCAAAACTTGCTTATAACCGAACACAATCATCACGAATACTGTCACTCTTGCGCTTTCTTCAAAGGGTTGCGGTGAAAGGGCCACCGATTGGAAACATTTGTACATATTTTTTTAATTGATCGAATGTCATAGAGACAGGGCAGCCATAATTTATGTTAGAAACATAATTAAATAGGTAACGGTTAAATATAATGGGTGTTAGGCTAATGCGAGGCCAATTGAAAGGGAACTGGTAGCTCGATAATGCCGATCTAATGAAAGAATGTTGGCAGTTGGCGAGTGAGAGAGAATGCGATAAAAATGGGTTGTTTGGTGTAGGAATGGGGATTGAGAGGTTAGCCGATGACAGTTAGTAGAAATAGTAGGATCAGATCGTACGATAAGTGTTCACTCAGCTATCGAAAGAAGCAGACCACTCTTGATGTGTGTCACGCGATCGTCTGTTTACTCGGCAGCACCCATTGTGTGGTCCTACTCATTGTTCCTCATCAGCAAATCTTTCGGTTGATGTGTCGTCGACTTTGGAAAGCAACCGTTTTGTTATGAGTGTGTGAGTGATGACCACGTTTTGCGTCCATTGCTGCAATGGAAGTGCTTTGGCCTCCGTTGGCGATACTGCCATACAATGAAACCACTGGAAGCGGCTCCCGTTCTGATGGAGGAGGCTTTTTGAATAGCGGAAGATAAAGTGTTTATTGTGTTGTATCTTTTGACTACAGTTTTAAGATGTTTTGTATAGTGAACAAGAATCCTCGGCTCTGTAAAGTTAATTCGATTGAGCCTTATCAAATAAACTAATCGAAAAAAATTGCACGATCAAAAAATACGGACAATCAGGCCATCTGCGTGTGCAATAAAACACGCGTTAGCTGCCTCTACACTACTAAAGTAGCGCAACTATAGGAGCGTTAATCCTATATCTATCCACCGATCGACATAGCCTCAAAATTGAACCATTTTCGACCTGTCATATCGAACCAATTTTTAACTATCTCAGTGTGAAGAAACGAAACGAAAACAAGTATTGCAGTCCATCAATATGAAAACTATTGAAGTTCATCTCGAAATATGTATGCTATTTATTAACGGATGTAGTGGAAAAGTGAGCCATATTTTATTTCCAAAGCATCAAAATCATTTCTCTAAACTTTTTCATCAAATAATGGTTCAGTACACACTTATAAATCATTAACGACTTCGGTAACTTTTTACCGAACTTTCAACAGCTAAACGTTCGGTAGAACTTTGACCCTCATTTCACTTAATCACAACGCATTTATTTACGACTGTCGCGAAACACCTAGTACCTACATAACTCCATGACGTAACGCACGTCGTTTCCAAAACACTAGTCTGCAATGTTGAGAAAAATTCAAAAAACATATTTCACTTACTCATGAACATGATCACACTTTTTCTTGGAATAAAAATCAGCAAACAATCAACAGCCGATGACATTGTAACTTCGAATCTCAAGCTAATCAAACTCACCAGCTATAAATCTCATCAAAGCTCATCACAAACATAGAAACATTAAAAAAATGCTTTGCACCATAATGTGACTCAAAACTTCCATCTTTTTATTCATCTTCAGTAAACTAAAAGGTTCATCCGTGAACTGATGATTAACCGGTCGCAACGATTTATCATTACTATTATGGAAGTCAATTTCAAATAACTCAATTTAAGCAAATTATAAGTCCTTCGGAGCTAAATCAACCAAATCTATGACCAAGCAATGATTTAACCCATCCAATACCATAAAAACTGAGCATACATTGTTTCCCTCTTCCATCCAGGGACGAGAAACAGATTGACTTTGCCGAACAGATAGAATCGGTAGCGTACGTGCTTTGCGGCGAAGGAACCGTGTCCTATGAAAAGTTCTGCCAAATATGGCACGCCAAAGGGGTAAGTCCACATTCAAACGACTACTGCCGATCCAAATGTTGATTGACAGACATCAATGTTGCTGCTGTTGTTCAACTTAGCAGCTTGGCGGATTTTAATTACTTCTTGTTTTCTTCAACAGATCTTGGACAAACTCTATCGGCTCATCGACGTCGACTCAACCAACCTGCTCTCGACCAATCAAATTATGGAATTCATCTCAAACCTCACCAACTCCCGGTAAGTCGGCCAATCTCGTACACTGATAATTACTCCGATCCGCAATTATAACCATTATGATTATAGTATCATGATTATTGAGAAGCCCTGTGACACTACGTCATCTCACTGGGAATTAGCCCTCTGTCCCCTCGATGATTAAACCCATTATACAATCAACACTTCGCAATCACGACATCTCGACAAAGTGATCAAGAGTCCGATCGAGTCGAGTTCGATCGAAATTGCTTTTCTCCTAATACGGTTATCTTGGTCAGCAAAAACAAAGCAGCAAATATCTCCAAACCATATCAAGATCTACAGCAGGCAGCAGCCAGCAGCTGGCAATCCAATCTACGACCTTCATCGATTGACGCGCTTCGTGCGAGATCATTATCTGGAGCTGTCCGCCAGCCGATCGAATCGCCCCGCGAGGATCAAGTGGTGACCAATTAAAGCACCCCTCGCGTGCACCCAGAGAAATCAGATACGGGCGAGCAGGAGATCTCTATCTCATATGTAATAAAGCTTGAGATTTTAGAAAGAGGGATCACTTTTCGAAGACGTGGTTGGAATGACTCAATTGATTGTTTGGTCAAAACTTCATTACAGTTATAATGACTCATATTCCAATAACTTATGGTTGGTATACATAGCTGATCACACCTCATTTAGTATTTCAATATTTACACCACGTCGTAGAGGCCAGCCTTTCCGAACAACCTCATTAGTAGCAAACTAGAACATCCAGCCGCACTCAATTCCCATTTCAGCTCAAGTAGTCTCGTTAAACAAAATTCCTGCCCATAAAAACCTCCTACCAGTTGCTTACTGCTTTCAATCATCTCCCTCTAAGCACAGATGAATGGTGGTGATGCTACCTGTCAGGAAGATGACACCGGACGGCGACGTGGCGCGTGGTATTTAGACACCCCTTATTTCGCATTCACCGCCTGCAGTGCTATCAGTCGCCCTATCGAGACGACGGCGGTCAGCGATCGTATCCAACAAGATCATCCAAACAACTGTGAATGAAAAAGGTAACACGATGCAAACGATCGCCGCAATCCATATACAACGGGTGAGATGGACAAGTGCGAGAAAATCGATCCACACCGAGTGCTCGATCATGATCTTGCATCTCTTGGAAAAGCTTTGTCCGTCATTCGGGAAGAAGAGCCCACCCGAGCCATCCATCTCGGTCGATCGCATCACGATCTTGTTGACTTAACCTGTTTGTGGTGGTCCCAATGGACTTCTTGAGCGCAGGTTTGTCTCGTTTTCCTGGAAACCGCCGACGACGATGACGATCAGATGGTGTTTAATTTATGCACCGTAATACTACTGGCACAAGCGCTACCGTTTTTCTGGATCGTCAGTCGTGGTATAGTGCATGCTTGCAGGTTGTGATTGATCTACGGTCCTGCACCGAAGCAGAAGCAGCATTATCTCCGATGTCGTATAGATCGGTGATGAATTTGCGTTTCACTCTTGCGAGTCATGACAAGAGTTAATTTTGCATAATGGCCCTTGGCGGTACCGTTCAAAGGCTGCTTAAACGATGCGATTTCGTCGAATCCGTCGATGATCCTCGGTTTGTTTTTCGACGGAAAATTGAGACGCATTTTTGCCAAAGGCTTTTTCTTGGATTGAAGTGCTATGCTTGGAATTATTACGTGCTCGTAAATCATGTTTATGGTTTCAAATTTGACATTTCTCGATCATAAAAAAGAAATCCGTTTTCTGAACCATAGTTCAAGTGACCATATAAATTCATGGGCCGTCAAAACGACTCATTTATGAAGTTTTATTGACGTTTCATCTTAATATTTTAAATTGCCCCATCATTGCAGTCAATAAACCGTTATAGTCATACGAAAAAAGAGATATAGCAGTAGCTGCATGTAGCGTGTGATGGTACGTTTTTAAAGCTTGAGTCCTTGAAAGATATGCATTTTGAAAAATGTTGAATAAGGTAAAACAAACAAATGACGAAATCTTGGAAAGTAGCCCAGAGCTTCTCAAAAGTGGTTCGTTTGGCGTTCCAAAACCATTAAGGTAAGAGTTATTTTGACGTTTGCAAAAGCCATTTAAGCCTTTCAAGGTTATTTTTACGAAAAGAGGTCTAAATAGCACAAAAATAATTCATTTTTGACTCGACCTTCTCCGATTTGCATGAAACTTGGCAAAATTATTTATTATGGGAAATCATTCACATTTTTGCGAAAATTTGTCCATTTTGCATATGGTATTTTTTTTTTATCACAATGGCGCCTTTGACATTTTTCAATAAATTGTAGCACGAAAACGTCTCTTCTGATCTAAATGACGTCTGAGGCAAAATTGTTGAAAAAGGTGAAGTCTTTCTGGGAAAAATATTAACGGTTTTTTTGTTTTTCAATTTGGAGTAAAAATTTAACAAACTTAAATATCTCATAAGCATACCTTCAATTTTTTATATGGCTCATGAAAAATGCAAACCTTTGGAATATTTAAAACCATGGACACTTGAAAATCGACAAGAACCGTAGAACATCAAGTCCGGTCAATTTTGACGTAGGACTACGTCTGTGATTTCGATATGGGGGTACACTTTGTGAAAACCGAAAATGGAACATGTAACAAAAAATGAAAGATTTTGAACGTTAATAACTCAGCTGCCCCTGAACGAATTTTAATCATTTTATCACCAATCGATCAGATATATTCCTACACATCTGTTAAATTTAATACATTATAATTTTTTTAAATGTCACTTTTGAAAATTGCACGAATGTGCAACTGTTGCTTTGATAATTAAAATTATCACTGATTGCCTACGAAAAGCAATTTCCCTAACACAGATTTCAAAGATAAATTCCATCCGGTCTCACCAAACGGTATTTATTCAATCACCGCCGTGTGAGTGGTGGTGTTTTCCAGTACACAACGAAAGGCTACCAGCAAGCAGCGAGCTGCAGTCCAGATGAGCATCCATAGAAGAAGGAAGAAGCCGCACCGCTATTGATCGGAATCAGTAGCTCTTCGTGAGTTTCTGTGGGCCATCTATGTCAAGCGCGTCATACTAAAGAGTGTAAACAGAGAGAACCCCGCGCAAATTCCTATTCCTACACAAAAAACAACTCCTGCTGCAGTTGGCAATAAGATTTATTATATAAGACCACGTAATCCTACGTCACCATTGCGTACAACCCCATAAGGCTGTCTCTTGTAGTTTTTTAAAATATTTTTATCAAACTTTTTTATGTAATTTTGCACAGAAAATGGTTTAGAATGTCTCAAATATTGTACTGTTCTAATAGGCAATTTACACCATATGTTGAATATGTGTATTTCATTCTGGAATGTATTAATGTCTTCGTCATTCCTTATTTCCTAAAAGAGCTTCATGTCGTCGGCACAGATTAGCACTTTAAGTTTTTTGAGGATGAAGGAAATGTCATTTATGTACAGAATAAAAAGAACAGGTCCCAAATGAGGACATTAGACAGGGATTGAAACGGCTGCCGTTTTTCACTATACTCGCTTCGTTGTCATGCGTGACAGTCTATTTGTATTTGTTCACTCGTGCTCTATCGTCGTCTCTCAAACACAACATAAATGGTATGGTATTTTCAAATTTTGTGTGCTAAAAGTTCATCCAAAGTTACAATATTTTTCAAAATTTACTCTGAAGTATCGTGACTGATTTTCTTAGAATTGGGTTGGCCAAATTTTGAAATAAAAGTAGTAGTAGAACACTTATGCTATACCATTCATACCATTCTAATAACCTTTGGAGATCGAAAATTGAACGTAAAATGAGAGATCATTGAACAAAACATATTTGCATGGTTTTTTGGGGGTGTCCTTAAACTTATGATCGGTAGTGTAAGTATCTTAAGAACTATATTGGCCACATCCGGATGTTCCAGATACCCTAGGGGATGTGAAAAAAAATCTGTCTTGAGACAAGTCTCATGATGCGCATGATGATTTTCAATAGCAGATCTAAAAAAAACATAGAAAGATAAACTGAATAATAATACTAACTCAAAATTGATAAAAAATGCAGATGGGACTGACTTGCGATTACCGGCAGATTAGTAATCAATCAAAAAATTGATTATTATTGAATAATAAGTAAAATTAAGTACCAATCACAAGCATAAACAATGATTTATTTTAGTAATTAATCATAATTCAATCATCTTTTTTTTTCCTTGATTTGTTTTCCGTCGATCTTGTTTTCCGTACTGAGTACCAATGATACCGACGCCAGGGAGGCAGCTTCCACACGGGCCAAACCCTACATATCGATCCATCAACTTGTGAACCGGGGACCAACGGCTTTACTTCCCGTGATCAGAGATTTTATACCTCAGAAAATCCCGGCGGCGCCGACTGGGAATGAACCCAGGCCTTTTGGGGTGAGAGGCAATCACGCTTACCATTAAACCACCGGCACCGATGATCAATGATCTTAATCATATGTCTCACATAATTTGATGATTATTCATTAATCATTGGAAACGAACAAATCATTGAATAAAAAAAAATCATCAGTCAAGAAAATCCTCAGGTCACGCAGCACTGCTTTCATCATCAGAAATCATCTCTAAATTCACCTTAATATTTTTTTCGGACATTGTCCCAAGAATTCTCTAAAGTTTTCTTCCACAATTCTATTTGAAATTCACATGAACATCCCTTTGAATTTCGGTGCAATTTGACGCAGAAAAATATTGAATTTCTGATCAAATTTATCTAGGCGCTCTCCTAAGAATAAATTAAAAAAAAACACTTTTTAATTATCCTCATAATTCTCTAGAAATGCTTTTCAAAACTATCCTTGAGTCTCTTCTCAGAAATTATTCGGAATTATACCTGGAAAATCGATTTTTCTGGATCTTTTCGGAATTACTTTCGAGCTAACCCTTAAGAAAACACTAAGAGCTACCCTCAGATTTTTTTTTAATTTGACCCAGAAATATTTTGAAACTATCCATAGAATTCAACACCCTTTGAATTCTTCTCGTAGT